TTCGGTGTTGATGTGGCTGGGCTTAATGGTAGAGACTTAGATGATTGTTGGCAGGGAAATTGTATGCCTATCATGAACCTGCACCTCCACAGAGGTACAGGTTCATGATAGGCATACAATTTTACAGTTTTGTAAAGACTAGTAAGACAAGACTAAATCAAAGTGGTCATGGTGGTGCCTAAAAGGTATGTTTTTTTGTTCTTTCTTCTCCATTGATATTAGGATGTGGCATTGTCTAAAACCCTATGCATCATTGTTACCAAGAGGTTTGAGGTACTAGCCTGATCTGCTGCACGTGTCAAGTCAGTGAGACATTTCACTGCAGCGGGGATAATCTGTGACTGAGAAACTGAATCTTAATAACCTGGGCTGAGGGTATGTTACATGTGCCATCTGTTATGACTGTAGAGAGTGCAAGTATATAGACTTGTTAAGAAGCTGCAGGACACACATTAGTAGCATAAACTAAGATATAAAGTATTGTATTCTTTCATGTAATTGTGAATTATTTATAGTGGTGCAGATGGTGTATAACATGAAGGAAAGTGTTTTTGTGCTTGAAACTGTTGTTGTGGTTTGTTACTTGCCATGCACACAAAGTTGATTTATATTCCTTGTGGCTATTTAGGAATATATTTACATAAATGTTTTGTGCCTGGAGTTCAGCTTTAATATGACTTGATGGCACACTATTTAAACAATTCATAAAAAGAAGTGTTTCAGTGTAATGTAATGTAATGTAAGTTGAGCTGCAGGGAAACTTTCCTTTGATTTACAATAATGTATGCTATCTAGTATGTTGCATACACCAGACTGCCCCCCTCTGTATGATGTGATGAATATTACATACTCCACAGCACTCTGGTCTGTACACTGTCTCTGTACAATGTGTTGTGCAATACATACACAACTACTTGAACTTGTATGCTTGTTGTACATTCTAAACTTTGTGCTGTTAAAGTACATGGATAGAGTAGGAAAAGGTTAAAACCCCTGTCCAATTTATTTTTTGCTGTAGGTGTACCATTGGGGAACTTTCCCTTCACTTTCTGTCCCAGAGACTTAACAGGAAGAGAAGAAATGCCCCAAAGTAAGGGACATTTCCCTCTTGGACAGCTGTCCTCATAATAAGTGTCTTGTTTGGAAGATTTCCCCTCACCTCTTGTTCTGGGGACAATCATAACATTTTGCATTTCCCCTCACATTTTTTCTCAGTGATAAAAGTCCACATTAGAAACAGAGTGGTGAATCTCTACAGTGCAGACACAGACAGCAATAATACATTGACAGGACTAACCCTCTGCTCTATCCAAAGATAAAAAAGATCCCTAGGGATAATTGTGCCACTAGAGATGTTTTACCAGGCATGTTATTGCTAATCTCCAAGTACAGTAAAACAACTTTTGATCCCATTTACACTAGCCTGATCGCTAAAGCCCTGCATTTTAGCAGGTGGGCTAGTGCATTATGCCATTATATCACACACTGCCAAAGCTGTCACTGTTGAAATGTTTTCCTTTTTTTAACTTTATTTGGAGTGTACAATGTGTACACGCCATTCAGGTGTGTATTACACTGCCATGCAGCGACCCACGGTGGCATCCAGTAAGCTGCAATAAAATGCAGCATGTCTGTATTTTTCCACAGCACATCGCACCACCCATCACACCCATATTATAGCGTGAACAGGGCACATAGAAAACAATTGATCCACTTTGGTAGAACTATATGTGTGAAACTAATATTTGTATTGCTACATATTTAAGCAATGTTGTATTTGTGAAATTAAAATTTCAGTTTAATTGAATAGGAAGAATCAGTGCAATATACTATATACAGTATGTATTATAAAGCTTCAATTTGAAATCATAACGGGTCAAGTGAATTTAGCAACATTTAGTCACAAGTTAGCTGGCCCTATTCAATAAGGCAGAGATTCTTTTTTAACCTAGTTTGAACATAAATACAGAAACCACAATGTACATAACTAGATTCACAAATAATTTAGCTTAAATAGCACAAAGTATTACAATGAAATTTTAATATGGATCAATGTCTTGATATTGTAAGCACTAATCTGTTGTTTGCATGCCTGAGAATATTTCATTGGACAAAACGAACACTTTACTTTTAATAGCCCAATAGATATAAATTCACCTTGGGACAATTTAGCTGCTGTAAACTTCGAGAGAGTTTGATATAATCAACAAGACAGTGTAGTATTGAACTAATGGATAGAAGGGATGTGTTTCTACAGTGACAAGGGAGAAGTGAGACACAATAAGATAATTTTAAATAAAAAACGCTGTAAGTGCTGGCATAAAAGAGATATCAGCAGCGCATAAGCTTTCAGAGTGACTCATTTGCCACAATGTCAATAAGATAGCAGTGTACAAGAGTGACATCTCCTAATACTATTCAGTCATCTGTACTTCCTGATTATAGCAGCTTCTCTGTAACATTTAACCGGTGCAAACACAAAGTCTGCTTCTATGAAAATGCTTTATATATAAATGATAACTCAGTAGAATGAGTCTCTCTGCAATTACGTGATAAAAGAAGCAGCTTTCAAACTGACATTTTGTCATCTGTATAAGTGATGGTAATGAAAGATTAACACAATGCTCAATCACACTATATATCACTCATCAATGTAAACTCTGATCAATCTTTGTAAATTGCATTTTTTCTGTAATCAAAACACAACTTCTAATTCTGGAAAAAAAACCTTCAGTAAGGTTATAATTTGAAAAATGGTACATTTTCTCTTTTATTACAGTGATTCTGCCTATCCAAGTAACGTTGTCTATATTAAAAAAAAGTTTACAGTTTTATTATATGTTTATTATTCTGAGAGTTAAGTAGGCTATACGTGCAGCAAATTTTTGATGAAGCAGATGAAATTTGACACGTGGGTGTTACTGTGGTCACCATTATGCCCGGCATCCCTTGATTAACTGATCAAAGGAGCAGGTCGGAAAATTGTCAGAAAAGAGCTAGCAGCCAATCAGCCAATAGAGAAAATAGGGGATTCCTCGATCAATGCTTGTAAGCTTTGATGGGGGAATCTGTGTTTATTGTTTTCATTCAACCCACAAGTTGATAGACAAAAATAGACTTTAGTTATGCTACTGTATAATATATTTTTAAGTACACATTTCAAATGTATTATAACTTATCACGTGTACTTCTACCATGATTTTAACATCATTCAAATATGTGAAGTGGTGCTATCACCCAACAAGTAAACAAATAATATGTGCAAAAAACAAATAGTATAGTGAATAATACTATTGTGAGAGTTCCAGATCCTCTTCCCGCAGAGAGCAGTGACTGTGATTCACCACTCCCAGCAGGGATTCCCCCCTTCCCTCTTCATTTCTCCAGTGCTGACTAGAGGAATGGATGGGGAGGGGGTGGGCACAGCTGGCTCTGCTGTAGAGAGACAGAGCCAGCTGTCAATCAGCCAGCGGGGTGGATCTCAACAGTATTGTCGGGATCAGTCCCAGCTGCAGTGCGGCTCTAAGCTCTAAGCATATAGTGGGCAATAGCCCACTATATACTGGGTTTTGGGTCACCAGAGGACATTAATATATGTCCTAATGTGACCCTGAAGAGAACTATGGCCAAAAAAAGTTTTAATTATTCTGTCATAGTTACATAGTTACACAGTAGATATGGTTGACAAAAAACACAGGTTCATCAAGATCAACATCTCGGAGTGTATTTGTGTGAGTGTGTTTGGTCCAGAGGAGGGCAAAAAAAAACCTACAAGCATAGGCCAATCTGCTGTAAGAGGTAAAAAAAAGTAATACACATACTGTCTTGCAAATGCACCCTCTAATTAAAATTTGCATTTCTGGAGTAAAGGTGTACCAGCAACTTTGGCTATATGTAGAAGGAAAGTAGTTCCTTTATGTTCTGAATGTATTTACTGAGACCGGAGAGACTTCAGTTAGTTTGAGAGGATTTTGGTTTAGTTTACTCATTCCGAAAAGATATCAGCAGGGAAAGTTGACACAAGGCTGTAGCTGTTCTCCTTTTTACAAATTAAAAAACCTGTCCAGCCCAAGGCTCCTTTGCATTGTACATGTTGTAAAGATCTCATATAATCCCTCTATATAATGAACAGTGATTATTTTCCTGAAATGCTATGCATATATGTATTATTTTGTATTGAAAAGTTGAGATTTGCTCAGTCTCCAAGATTTGCTCATTCTCTAAGATTTGCTCATCACTTACTCAGTTTAGCACCAAGTACAAGGTTCACATGTACCATATACATCATTATTAGTAAATAATTTAGCCTCTTGTGATAAGGTGTATTATGCAAATGCTAATATTTTAGCCATAGTTAGCAATGCTGTCCCTATTCCAAAGCAAGGCCCACTAAACACAGTAAGTGCAAATGGTACACCAATGTTAACAGTCTGTTGAGTCTAGTACTTTGTGATATTTTCTAGGTTAAGGCTAATTTTGCCTTATGATAACATATTTCTGTGTATGTGGGAAAGGCCAAGTAAAGCCTTAAGTTTAAACTGAGTGCAGTATGATTATTATCTAGGATATTTGTATTTAAATTTCTCTGACCACAAAATGACACCTTTTGGAGGTAGGTGTCTCCTAACAGTCAAAATGGGCTGCCTCCCACAGCAGCATAATGCAAATGTTTTTATCCACAAATATTGTGATGTGCTGGTGTTAACGCTGTTAGCTAAGTTTTCGATACATATTCCTTTGCCCTGAATACAGTGAGGACTGTTGAGCATATTCTGCAGTCCCTTCAACTGTATTTGCTCCCATTTACCTCCATAAGACCTCTAAAAGAGAAAAGGAAAACATTCTGGAGTTACCACATACAGATTGCTCTGACAGCAGGCACATGCCAAAATATAAAGAAGAGCACTGTACTGCATAACATTTTACAGGTTTAAGAACAGAGCATTTTTATTGATAGCAGTAATATACTGTATGCTGCAAAAAAAGTTCCATTAGCTAAGTAAGCTCAGTAAACACATCATAGAGGAAGTGTTGCCAGTGCCACTTTTGAATTTGTCTTCTTATTTAAGGCAGAGCAAATAAAATCCCCAGCTTCCATGACTTTGGTTTGATTAACCCCCTATAAAGAGAAAAAACAATCACACACACATATCCTGTAAATAGCTTGAATTAGATCTAATAAGTCAATTAGGCATGCAATAATCATATAATTATACTATAACAACTAAGCGTTGTATTGTCTTAGGCAAGTGTGCAGCCTAATATTATAGTCTCTGTGTAATTCCTAGTACATACTAGTTCTGCTTTAATATATCGATACTAAGAATAATTTTTTATCAATGTGGTTAACTAAAGCTATCTTTTCTAGATGTGGGCAACCTGTGTATTTTTGGTGTGAAGTTCAAGAAAATACATTTATATGATAGCTGTCAGAAGAGATAAGTTATTAGTTTTTTGATGATGCAGGCTCTGGCTTTCATTCTAATCCTGGCTCCACCGCTTGGTAAATCACCAACCTAGACTAAGTGAATATATGATATCAGGACACCTGATATGCATGCTCTTGTTTGGGGTCATTGACTGGCTAAACAGTGAGCAAGGATAAGGATGACAGCTAGAAGTTTGCACTTCCAAAAAGAACTCAGGGATGTTTGATTCCATGATTCTTTCCTAACATTGTTTTTTCCAGATTGTAATCCCACCAGTACTATAAGTTTCGCCTCACTGTTATAATAATTGGTCTGTCTTGCAATTACTATATAACATACCAACCATTCTGAAGTTGGCAACCGTTGCCATATGACCAGATTTGGCCTATTTTTTTAAATTACATTTACTTTCCCAATTTAAAAATAATGACTCTCCATTGGTTTATTTTACAGTAGTTTAGGCTACTCCTTTATTTTACCAGCTAAACTGATATGAACTATTTATGGTTTCTGCTGAACCATGAAATAAGTAGCTGCAATATATGCAATCTTGGTTCTACATTGTCTGTGCATAAGGTGAGTAAAATACAAATTTAAAAAGATAAACATTTTTGAATCTGGCTGTGTGCTCAAGCAGCTCTAAAATGCATTGCATTGTGGCTCTGTGTTTATATATAAAATTGATATTTCACTGGCTGAGGAGTGACAGAGTATGAGCATGCTCCTAATATTTGTGTTGTGACCAGGCAGCAGAAAGTATAGTTCATAAGTTCAGAAGAGTGATGAGCTCTGTTTACTCTCTGCTCGTTAACAGCTTGAGAGAAGAAAGCTCCCATTGTAATGGCAAAACAAATACATAAATTGGTCTGATGAGTGCTTGACAGAATGACTTTGCATCCCAATCAGAGAGACTCATCAAATGGACTATATGTACATTCTATATAGTACAGATACATCACAGATAACAGGTTAAATCAGTCATGAAGGAGGCACTTTTAGGCAGTAGCAATTCATGGTGAAATTGACCTGTACATAAACAGCCTCACATGTGAAAGTGCTGGGGCTTGTAAACTTAGTTTTTACTGTCCAGGGATTCAGTAGGTACCAGCACATGACTATTTTACAATTCTTCATTAATTGGAACTGTGATGAACCCATTCAAGAAGACCTGCACTTTCTCCTTAACAAGAAAGTTGACTGTGATAAGCTGTACTTAAAAATGCAAACATACTGCAAAAGATTAGACACCAGTAGACTCCCTTTAGCTGATCTTTTCACCAGTACTGACTTACAATGCCTTGTTCTACAATGTGGTAGAGGAGCAATGACACATATTGTCACGATTGACCCCGCCAGCTGCAGTCAGTGAGTCACAGAGGGAGTTATCCGGGGAGCCCAAAGTTTGCTATGGGGCCCCATGATTTGTAGTGGCACCCCTGTATTGAAGGGTAGTGTTTTTAGTAGGGATGGTCCACCTGTTCGATTGAAACATGAGTTCGAATCGAACATCGGCTGTTCGAGCGTTTGTCAAAGGCCGAACTTTATGGGATGTTCGCGGCCTGTTCGACCACACAATGTCCCATACTGCAAAGAGCCCTCCGAAGCTCTAATTGGTTAAAGACTTGCACCTGACCACAGGTAAGGTGCAAGACTTTGCCCAATCAGGGCTCAGTACTCATTTGGAGCCATGATTGGGCAAAGTCATGATGACTGCCCAATCATGTCTCGCCCATCAGATGATGGCAAACTACACAATTGGCAGAGCTAGCTGTTACCGCTAGCTCCACCCAATTGTTTATGTTTTGCTGGCATCTGTCAAAATGCCATTATGCAGCGGATGTCAGCGGGGGGCAGACGGGACAGTGGCCGGCGTTTTTAAAAATGTATTATTTCTATTTATTTTTTATTGTTCTATTTTTTATTTCGTCGTCGTCATGGACAACGCTGGATGCTGTGATTGACCCTGGATTACGTCAGTGGATCAATTTTATTTTTTTAAATAAAAGACTTCTCAAAAACATGTCTTTTGTTTTTTTTCAATTAAAGGATTTTATCAAAAGTCTGGACTTTTTAATAACTATTTGATTGAACCCTTTTAGTGAATGGATAGGGGTACAAGTACCCCTTACTCATTCTCAAAGGAGGGGGCGGCATCTGGGTGCCCCTTAATTAAAGGTGTACCCCGATGCAAATAAGCCCCCTTGCCCACAGACACCCAAAAGCACCAGGTCAGGGTTGTGGGGACGAGCCCCTTGTCCCCATCGGCATAGGGACACCCTCCCAGTGCCAAAAGCATGTGGCCTGGTGTGGGAGGGAGGGGGGGGGGCACTTGCTCGCCCCCCCCTTTCTGGCCCTGCCAGGCCAAAGCTCGGATCAAGGGTCTGGTATGGAATTTTAGGGGGGACCCCCTGTTTTTTCCTCCTAAAAATTCCTATCAGACCTTAAGGGCCTGGTGTGACTTTGAGGGGGAACCCCACACACTTTTTTTTACATGGGGTCCCTCCTAAATATTCCTACCAGACCTTAAGCGTCTGGTTTGAATTTTAGGAGGAAACCTAAGCTTTATTTGAAAAACAAATTGGCCCCTCCTAACATGCCTACCAGACCTAAAGGGTCTAGTATTGTTTGGAAAGGGGAACTGCACACTTTAGGAGTAAAACAAAATAAAAAAATTATTTTTTAGAAATGTCAGTTTTGCTGCAGCAGGTTCTTTACATCATACTGATCTTCCACTTCACAGGCAGGTTAAGGGGACCCCCCAGGCACAATATTTGAAGGAATTTTTCATTTTTATTCTTACCCTTTAAGTGATGTTTAAAATCACTGCTCCTTTAAAAAAGTTTTTTTTTTAATTGATTACTGTCCCCCAGAGCAGTACCCAGGCCCCCATACACCTTTTATGACCAATAACCTGCATATAAGCCCTCTTAAAGGGGACAATCATTTTCGAAAGTTCGACCCCGATTGACTTGCATTAGGTTCGAGTTCGTATTCGAACTTTTGGGCCGTTCGGATGTTCGAATAAGAACCGAACATGGGGGTGTTCGGCCCATCAGTAGTGTTTAGGCATAATTAACATTTCTAGATGTTCACTATAACATAGCAAATGTTTATTTTTGTGTTCAGGTTCACTTTAAGCTCTTAGGTATGTGATTGGAGAAAACTACTGCATGGACGCTTCACACATTGGATGGAAGGGAGGGTATGGACATTTATTGCTGCTCAATAACATTACATACCTACTAGCTAGGACAATACTATTGTTTATAAATGTAACCTCTTAAATAACATAAATCATTTGAATGTAAGAACAATTACAGAATTATATATTTTTAGAATAAAGGTACTATTTACAAGGTGCCATGCCTTTAACCGTCACATTCATTTGAAATGATTCATACATCTTAGACTTTAGTGTCTTAATCAGCATATTGTAGATGAGCAGGGTTGCAAACCGAAACAACAGCTCAGCTCCTATGAAACAATAAACACATCCCTTGTTTGTCATGGGTAAGCTATTCTGCCTATCAATTGAAACAGAGTGGTGAGCTCTGCCAAATCTCTTCAAGATATCAGGTATTGACCTAAAGGCTTCTCTCATATTGGATGGAGAGGAGGTAAAGGTATTGATTGGCCAGTATGTGTGATTTACACAGCGTCTTCCATACAAAATAACTAAAGGCAAAAAAATTGTAACCCACTCGATTCTCCAAGCTGGCTTATTGTTAGACTGGTACCTGGAGCTTCTCTCTCCCTCCTCTGCACCGGTCTAAGGTCTCTGAGTCATCATGTTCTATACACAGTGTATAGGATGTGAGGATGCCGAGGGACATACCATCGCTCAGACAGGCAGGAGGAGTGCTGTCACAGCCAGCTGGCTCGGAGGATAAGATGAGTATAACGTATTTGTTATTTTCCTTCCTAGATCAAAATGAGTAGTTAATCCTTGCAGTGCAGGGGTAGCCTCACTGCAAGGGTCAATACAATTTTGGTCCAGAGATCTTTAATCTAAGCTAGAACTATCCTGAAAAGCATATACATCAGATCTATGAAACCTTCATTCAGATATCATTAAATGATCTTTAAATTAACATAGGTAAATTCTAAAACACCACATGGCCTACTCTGGGTGTAACTGTAATGGATGAGCAGTCCCTAAATATCTATCATTATGGTTATTTTTGTAAATATAATACACCTATAAAACACGCATATAGAATGTTCAAAGTGTTACCGTGTGAATACCAAGTCCATTTAGCATATAAAGCACATCTTCTGTTGCAACATTACCAGTTGAACCTTTTGCATAAGGACATCCACCAAGGCCAGCTACTGCACAGTCCACAACACTAACTCCCATCTGACAAATATGAATACATAAACATTAGATAAATAGAAGATTTCATGTAACATAAAGGCATTCACATAAAAAGATATGCAGGTCAATACTAATTCCCAGCAGCTGGCTCAACAGTAATGTGATTCTCAGCTACCTCTCATATGGTGATGATAAAAGTCAAACCTCCTAACTGCATTCTAAAACACATCACATGATACAATCTTGACAATTGTTTGCACAAAGATTAAGTATTGAATATAGTTATTTATAATTCAATATTGTATCCAGCAATCATATTAAACTGCAAACATGTACACATTTTCTCAAAGCTAACACACTGGAAAAATTATATTTATTTATTGTTCTTTGAGGGACACAGGAATGTAGTAATTTTTAGACATTTGGGTTATACTACTTCCTACAGGAAGATTTGGACACTGGCAAACAAAAAAAGTGACAAGCCTGGTAAAACCCCTCCTACTCCCAGCATGCCTCCGTTTTATGCTAGTGTCCTAGGAGGATGAATGTCTTTTTTCTACTGCAAAACATTAACCTGTTTTTCACTAGCCATTTTTCCTTTTCTCTTCAATCAAGACTTGATCTACACATTGCTTGACTGGTCTCTTTATATAGCTATCTGGATTAGCTTTGGAGTCCATCTCAATAGGATGACATACACCCCATTCTAGATCACTTGAAGTCCCTGAATGTCTTCATTTGGTCCCAAAACTTTCATTTGGAATCCACTTTCTGGTGTATGCTATGCTGATACCACTTCACATAATTGGGGGGGGTGCTTTGAAAGTGTTCCCTCAAAAAACAGGGGCACTCTTACAAAGCACTTGTGCCTGACAAGCAGTGGGCTTTTTGTGGCCAGCAGGGGGTATGGCCAGGGGGTGGCCAGCAGGGGGTATGAACAAAGATAGGGCTTATGCACTACTTACTTTTCCGCCCATAGGAGGTAAGTAGGTGACACATCTCCATGATTAACTGCTTTTAGTGATCCCTCAGACCCCGAACCAGTTCAACATGGGTATAAAAAGTAGAACAATAAACACACAACATTGTTTGAACACTGAGAAGGTTTCTTCCACTGCCACAGTTTTATGTGCTCGGCTCTCTGCCGTGACAGGGGAGGGGCTGGATTCCACCCTCCATGCTCCGATCCACCAGCGCTGACTGGCCGGACGGGGGAGGGGGCGGGTATAGCTGGCTCTGCCTCTAGATAGGCAGAGCCAGCTGTCAGCTGTCAGAGCCTAGGGTGACGGGAGAACGCTAGTTTGTGTCCTCCCGTTACCCTAAGGAGAACTATGGGGAAAAGCCTTAACCCCATAGTTCTCCTTTAAATAATTCTATTTTTCTCCAAACCACTGTGCAAGCTATCCTTTTCCATAACCACTCTGTTCTGACATTTAGCAATGATTCCACGAAGGCAATTGCAGTGACTAAAAACAAACTTTTAGCATATGAACGGTATAAGCCACAACATTTATATCCATATAATTCTAGTGTCTATTCTTTAAGGATATGCTATCTAAGACTGTCATTTAATACTGTTGTAGTATATATTGTAAAAAGTAAAATTGTAAACTTCCAGGTGCGTTTGAGCGAACTCAGCAATTGTTTCTGGACCATGATAAGTCTTACATAAGTTTTTCTTACTCTGTGATGAGTAGGGATGCACCGATACCATTTTTTCTAGACCAAGTACGAGTACCGATACTTTTCCTCAACTACTTGCCGATGTACCTTTTTTAGGGTCATGTGACAGTTTTTCTAAAACAATGCAGACTAATGATTTTAGGACAGTGTTGGAGTGCCAGGGCCCGGTTGCAGCTGCAACCGATGCAACACTGCTAGTTCTGCCACTGACTCCAGCCTGTAGAGGGACTACAAATCCCAGTAATACATTATACAGCAATACAGATTACCACCAGCAATAGAGGACTACAAATCCCAGCAGCACATTATACAGCAATGCACAATAATACCATCAGCTATATAGGAATACAAATCCAAGCAATACATTATACAGCAATGCACATTAATACCCACAGCTATAGAGGACTACAAACCCCAGCAATACATTATACAAAAATGCAGAATATAATGAAGCTACATGCGCTGTTACTCACTAGGGCTGTGCGGGGTCTGACCAGGGCTGTGTGGGGTCTCAGGAGGCTATGTGGGGTCTCACCAGAGCTGTGTGCGTGTCTCACCAGGGCTGTGTGGTCTCACCAGGGCTACATACAGTTCTCACCAGGGCTGCATGTGGTTCTCACCAGGAATGTGTGCGGGTCTTACCAGGGCTGTGTGGCCAGCTTTGAACTCACCAGGGCTGTGCCAAGTCTCACCATGGCTGTGCAAGCAGCGGGAAGGAGGAGGAGATGTGTGCCCGGGCCAGTGCTGTAAACAGCCACTAAGAGGTCCCCCAGCAGGTTGCCATGAGTTCCCTAGCAAGCGCAGGAACTTACAGTATCTGAATGCATTTAAAAATGTAAAAGTCTAACCAGGGCTGTGTGCAGGTCTCACCAGGGCTGAGCAGTCTTACCAGGACTGCATGCGTGTCTTATCATGGCTCTGCGGTCTCACCAGGGCTGCATGTGGGTCTCACCAGGGCAGAGTGGTCTCACCAGGGCTGTGTGGGTGGGTGCAATCTCACCAGGAATGTGTGCAGTCTCACCAGGGCTGTGTGGTCTCACCAGGGCTGTGTGGGTCTCACCAGGGCTGGGTGACTGGCTGCGATGTCACCAGGGCTCTGCTGGGTCTCACCAGGATGCGTGTCGTTCGCACCAGGGCTGTGTGCGGGTCTCACCAGGGAGAATAACAGCCACCACAAGGTCCCCAGCTGGCTTGCTAGGGACCTCACGGCAGCCAAATCCATTTTTAAAATTAAAAGGCTCAGGATGGGCACTTAGTATCGGGGCATTGTCATGAGTACTTGTGAAAATGCCTAGTATCCGCAATGATACCAATACTGGCATCAGTATTGGTGCATCCCTAGTGATGAGTATTTTAGACTAAAGATTTCTCATTAACAGTGGTGTTAATGGCTTTGACTGCAATTAAAATAGACCGATTCTACTCTTTGTTTAGGGTACCTTTTATAAAACAAATAACAATATAATATACTCACATACATAAGATGTATCTAGGCATTCAACAGTCTCAATGCTCATAGGAGCCAATGTGCACCATAACATACAAGGAGGAAACCACTTGTACTGGACCAGCCAGTGGATGGAAATGGCAAAACAAGCTTACACATTTCAGGGGCACACCCACTTCATCAGTAATCACTGATCAATACTCTGTAGCATATACACTATATTGCCAAAAGTATTGGCACGCCTGCCTTTACACACACATGAACTTTAATGGCATCCTAGTCTTAGTTCGTAGGGTTCAATATTGAGTTGGCTCACCTTTTGCTTCTATAACAGCTTCAACTCTTCTGGGAAGGCTGTCCACAAGGTTTAGGAGTGTGTCTATGGGAATGTTTGACCATTCTTCCAGAAGCGCATTGGTGAGGTCTGGCTTGCAGTCTCTGCTCTAATTCATCCTAAAGGTGTTCTATTGGGTTGAGGCCAGTCATGTTCCTCCACCCCAAACTCGCTCATCCATGTCTTAATGGACCTTGCTTTGTGCACTGGTGCGCAGTCATGTTGGAACCGGAAGGGGCCATCCCCAAACTGTTCCCACAAAGTTGGGAACATGAAATTGTCCAAAATGTTTTGGTATGCTGATGCCATAAGAGTTCCCTTTACTGGAACTAGGGGCCAAGCCCAACCCCTGAAAAACAACCCCTCACCATAATCCCGCCTCCACCAAACTTTACGCCTGGCACAATTCAGTCAGGCAAGTACCGTTCTCCTGGCAACTGCCAAACCCGGACACGTCCATCGGATTGCCAGACAGAGAAGCGTGATTTGTAACTCCAGAGAACACGTCTCCACGTCTCTAGAGTCCAGTGGCGGCGTGCTTTACACTACTGCATCCGATGCTTTGCATTGCACTTGGTGATGTAAGGCTTGGATGCAGATGCTCTGCCATGGAAACCCATTCCATGTAGCTCTCTATGCACTGTTGTTGTGCCAATCTGAAGGTTAGATGAAGTTTGGAGGTCTATAGCTATTGACTCTGCAGACAGTTGGCGACTTCTGCGCACTGTGCACTTCAGCATGCGTTGACCCCGCTCTGTCATTTTTCATGGCTGAGTTGCTGTTGTTCCCAGTTGCTTCCAATTTGTTATAATACAACCAACAGTTTTTTAGTTGTATCGTTATTTTATCATGATCATTTTTAAATTTTTAAATATTTTAATATTATTACTATTATGTTTTTGTTGACGACCACTTCTATGATGCATTCCTGGCAGCTATTTACCACTATTGGTTTCCTCCCACTAGTTGGCGCCAAAGCGCTCAGTGCTTCCCCCCTTCCCCTATATAAAGGACTCTGCCCACTCCACCCTTAGGTTTGACAAAGGAGGTGAACCTCTGAAACGTGTTGCCTAGCAACACCTGACACCTGACAACCCGGAAGTACTCAGCAGCTGTGACCCTGCTTTGAGGAGAACCAGCCACAGCAGTGCTCAGCCACTGGATCAGACCTGTGTCTTCCAGCACAGGCGTCCTGGGATCTTTCTGGACTGAACTGGACTCTGCTTTCTCTCTATCCTGATAGCAATCTCGGACCAGCAGCTGAGATGGGACTTTCATCTGATGCGTGACAGGCGAGATGTTTTTTAATATCCTGTAAGTGCATTACTTTTACCCTTATTAAATAGTCACTTTATACTGCACTTAGATTGGTGCGCCGGTTTTCTATGTTTTCTTTACAGTGCTGTTATATGGATGTTTCCCTATCCAACCAACCAGGCTGCAGGATCGGTGCATACATCTTCTCTGGAGTAATTACCAGTATAACTGGAGTTCATTTGATACTATCCATATATAGTTCATAAACAATCGATCTTTTTGCACAAGTTGATGACTTCTTTTTCATATAAAAAATTTGCT